CCCTCCTTCCCCTCTCCCTCCTTCCCTTCCTTCTTTTTAAGATAGCATCTCACTAGGTACCCCAGGCTGGCCTTGAACTCATGGCAATCTTCCTGTAGTGGTCTCCCAAGTGCTGGGATAGAGGTGCGTACCACCACATCTAGCTACTAAGGGGAAGGCTCTTCCCTTCAAGTTCTGCCTGGAGAATTTTTACAAATCAGCATAAATGTGCCTTTCCCTCCTTCCCTTCCTTCTTTTTAAGATAGCATCTCACTAGGTACCCCAGGCTGGCCTTGAACTCATGGCAATCTTCCTGTAGTGGTCTCCCAAGTGCTGGGATAGAGGTGCGTACCACCACATCTAGCTACTAAGGGGAAGGCTCTTCCCTTCAAGTTCTGCCTGGAGAATTTTTACAAATCAGCATAAATGTGCCTTCTTTTAGGACATTCCTGAGTTTTTTTCCTCCTTTGCCTTCTTTTGTGTGGTCTATGTACTGGAAAAACTTTCTTGCCTTGCTTCAGTTATCTTTTGCTACATAGAAATCTCCTCCCTCCATAAAACACAGTGATTGAAAACAAAAACCATCTTATTTTTGGTCTTAATTCTGTGCAAGACCTGGCTTCAGACAGATGGTCATTGTTCTCTTTGTGATATCAGCTGGGGCTGGAGTCCTCTGAAATATCTAAAATGGCTCATTTAGGTGGCTGAAAGTTGGTGTTGACTGTTGTCTGGGAAGTCAGTTCCCTTTCTCCTCCTTGTTTCTACTTTATGTATTTTGATTTTCTCACAGCATGGGGGCTAGATTCAGAGGAAGAGTATCTCAAGAGGAGAACTTCTACATGAAAAAAAGGAAAATGCCAGAATGACACTTTCACCACATTCTATTGATAAAGCAGTAACTGACAAGTGAACTAAGTGCCAAATCTAGAAAGAAGGGGCACCATGATCAAACAGTGAGAAAAGGATTTGTTTGGTCATCTTTGGAGACTAGCTACCACACCCTTTTGTTGGTAGTCAGCCCACCTCTATAATTCTGAAAGAGTCCGGAGGATAGGCACTGTATTTTTAATCATCTGTCTGCCCACAGTCCTTAGGCAGGTCCTGGAATATGATACTTAGATGCTTACTTACATGTTTGATGACTCTTTCAGTCCATTTAAATCAGAACAAATCAGCTCATAGTTTTTGAGTACTTATTCTGTGCTAGTCTATCTGGTTGAGTGCTGTGGACTTGATGAAAGAGACTTTGCCCTCCACGGTCTAATGAGTCAGAGACAATATTGCATTAAAGGGACACAACAGATAAAGAGATGATTAATAGCTTAAGGCAATTACAAGCAAGACTTCAATGGGAAGTCTACGATTGATTGTCATGTTAATTGTGTGGGTACCAATGCTATAGATTTTTAGAGGAGGCTGTATTTACTTCACATAGAAGGCTTTTAGGTACAAGATGGGGTTGGATCTGACTCTGAATGGCAAGATGGGATCCGGGATGGAAGAAGTGCAATTCCAAAAACAATTATGTGAAGATGGAACCACACGAGTTGCTTCACATACACACACACACACACACACACACACACACACACACACGTTGTAAACATTTTTTCCAGAGAAACCAAACTCCTGTACATCTTTAGTAAATAAGCAATAGTTGTAAGAAATGTGAGTTCAAAATAACTTCTTAAAAAACATTTACCAAGAGCTGGGTGTGGTATCACACCACAGAATCCCAGCCACCCAGGAGAGCAAAGCAGGAGGATCACAAGTTTGAGCCTAGCGTGAGAAAGTTAGACGCTGTCTCAAAATAAAAAATAAAAAGGACCTGGGAGGTAACTCAGTGATAGAATGCCCCTGGATTTGATCCTCAGTGCAGAGGGAAAAAACATGCATGGCATGCACAGCATGGATAAAAACATGCATGGCAGAGATTATATTGCTTACTTAATATCACATTTCCCCCTACACCTTCCAGCCTCTCTTGAAGTTGGCTTGGGCTGACATGCATATGACTTCTGGCCGAAGGCAGTAAAGAGCAAATGAGAGATCTACATGTTTCCCCTTTTCTTTCGTTATAGCTGAAGTGACAAATTCTGAGATGGTAGGATTGCAAGATGGAATTTAGCCTGGGTCTGTAAGTTAACCATTGGTGGAGAGCCATGAAAGAGTTACTTTAGCTGCTTCAGACTATGATGTGAGCAAGAAATAAATATTTCTGGAAGGCCATTGAGGTTTTAGGGTTTATTTATTACCTTAATGTTACTTGCCCTATGCTTTTATATCTAGTGTTGTCTGAAGGAATTGAATTCCACATAATACAAATTATCTATTTACTACTTTAAAAATATAAGAAGCAAAGAAAACTTGTAACATATACTTTTCACTATCTGTAATTGATGGTTATAGTTTTCTTCCTAAAAGCAAATGATTAAGTGATTTCTAATTAGCATCTATAATCCTTTGTGAGCATTGATTGAATTCACTCATACACTAATGTAGAAAACACTCTGAAATAACTAACCATGGGCAACAGAAGGTGGGTAGAAAAGGACATTTTATTTGAAACAAACAGATATCCCTCAAGCCTTATTAACTCAATGTCTCCCCCAACCAGACTTTTAAGCCTGTAGAAAATGGCACTTCCTGATTCCTCTCCTCCAACATTTATAGGTCCACTAATTAGATGAAAGATAATCAAAGGTCTAGTCACCCAAGGAAAGCAAGGAACCAGAGACATTGGCAAGCTAAATAATTGGGACTCTAATCAAGGGTGGCAGTACCTCCTATTATGACACTGTACTTTTTTATCAGCTTCATTTATTCTGTAGCCTGAGGAATGTGTATTTGCACACTGGTCTCTAGGTCTTCAGGAGTTTCTTAGGCTGTGTATTAAACTCTAGCCAAAGAACGCTTCTTTGCAGTACATTCCCCTGAAGTGAACAGTGTTTCTTAAAGTCCTATCCTGAGAATGGTCTTACTTCATCCAACAAGCAGTGTCTATAAAAGGAAAATAGAGGGGATTCTTAGTTATCCACCCCATAGAGAGGGAGCAAGAGTATAAAAAGCCCAATTTCATTCTATTTCTGCCCTCCCATCTACTGCCCCGTCTCCCATTGATGAACTAGCCAAAAGCCAAAGCACACAGGGCCCAAGGATAAAGTCCATACAGGTTAGTTTCCCCTACCCAGGGCTATGAGTAAGATGGAGGACAGGGAGTCATCCTGCAGAGTCAAGTGGAGAATATCCATCACACTGAATAAAACTGGGAGATTTTAACATCAGAGACAGCTTATATTGAACTGAACTAATATCAGCTGTCAACTTATGCATATTAAATACAGACCATGGGTATATCTAAGTTTAGAGACCTTTCTGTTAATTCTTAAGATAATGACACCCCATGCAAATCCGAACAGTGAGGAGTTGGAGACTGAAAGACTTTTTTCAGAATATAATGGGTATGGGTATTGGAAATGCCTTACTAATGTTCACAAAACTTTCTTGTGGCCTTTCTGCTAAAAAGCTGCCCTATATTAAAGTCAACCAACATGCATTAGAGATTCCCTGTATCTGGTCACCAGATGGAAGCAATATTTTCTGGAAGACAGCACATGGCCAGTTTTGGATACTCTATACCCTTAGTATCCGTGAATCTCTACACCCCTTCCAGAGGTATGTTTCAGGGAGAATAAAAATGCTGATGAGGGAGCCTGGTATGGTAGCGCATGCCTACAACCCCAGCACTCTGGGAGGCCGAGGCAGGATTACTAGTTCAAGCCCAGCCAGGGAAAATTAATGAGATCCTATCTCAAAACTTGGCCAGGAGATTACACGGGGGGAGCACTGGAGATGTAGCTCAGTGTGAAAGTCTTAGGTTCAATCCCCCAGTACCACAAAAACAAACCCCAAAACCCTGATGAGATCCTTAACCCTGGCTCCAAAAATTCAAGTTCCCACCTCCTTCCTAGGTTTAATTTTACCTAGATCATGCATCACAGCCTGTCAAATTCCCATTTAAGTATGTAAACCCTCTACCTCTCAAATTTCTGCTGACTTCTTTCTGTTTGGAAGCTCTGACCATTCTGGTTCTCAGCTGTTCTGGTTATGTATAGGTCTTTTTACTGGTCACCCCTACTTCTCTGCCCTCCCCAGTGTACCGGACCGGCCTCCCGCTCACAGTGATTGCAATATTGTGCTTATGAGTTACTTCCTGCGGCCTTCTCGCTAGCCCCCTCCTGTGCTGGTTTTAACTGCTCTCTGCATTCCCAGAGTCACTCTGCCTCCTCCTCCAGGATGCTATACTTCTACAGTCTATCTCCCAGTCGGAACTCCTATTCCTTTAGGGTCCAAGTAGATTTCTGGTATCATCTATTATAAATAATCCATAAAATAAAAATAAAAATCCATAAAAGTATTTAATTGAGCCAATATATCTGTATTCTGTGTTTCTGATGAGTAAGTGATGGGAATGAGGAGTGTTAAAAGCTAACTAATAGGATGGGGAGTAAAATCCTGACTCTATACATGTGTAAGATTAATAAGGAAGCCAGTAATATGCTACAAATGGTTCAAAAAATTCAAAGAGTCACACATATATAGGCGATAAAGAATGTAGAAATGCATGTATAGATTGAAAATGAGTCAAGTATTAAAATGTGGGAATGAAACTATAAATAGATTTGAAATTAGTTAAGAATTAATTACATTCCACCAGATAATTAATTTACATTTTTGCAGACAAGATTCATTTCAATTATTATTTTTCTGCAATTTACAGTTATAGCTTAAAGTTAGTGACAGGTAGAAATAACCCAGAAGGGTACCCTCAAAAACATATCCAGGGCCAGGGATTTAGCTCAGTGATTCCACCACCTGCCTTGGTGGTCCCAAGTTTGATCCCTGGTACAAAAACAAAGCAAAAACAAACAA